ACCATTTACTTCGTCTCCATTGAGATGTTATTGATTTGCCTGAAATGTTTCACAGTATGGGATTTATTGGTAGAAAAACATACATTCTTGCTGGGAGCGAGGTCGCCTCTCCACAGATCGGACTTGAATCTGACTAACTGAGTCTAACATTGTTTCCTGCTTCCATCAAGACAGATAATATTAATGTCATACTGTGGAACATTCTAGGCAAAGCAATAACATCTCCATGAAGACAAGGAGTTGGATAGAGGGCTGCAGTAGTAGTAACAAGCATTATTAGTATTAGTACTGGCAGGGGTACTGGTAGTATGGATCTTATATTTTTGGGTAAATGTAGTATTGTTGTAGTTAGAACAGGAAGTAGAAGTAGAACTGGTAACAGCAACAGTGTTTGCAGTAGTAGTAGTAGTAACTGTGATAGTAGTTCATAGTGGTGGTGGCAGAAGTAGTAGTTGTAATAGTAGCAGCAGTAGATGAAGTATATACTAGGGATGGGCATTCGATGAAATTGTCTTAATCGATCGTCGGAGGAATTAACAATCGATTATCGATTAATCATTAACGTTTTTATATTAAAATGATCCTCATTATTATTACTATCTGCACTACTAATCTGCATAAATAAATTCAACTTTACGACATATAAACCGTAACGACTCTAGAGCCACATCAGCTGTTTGACATTATAATGTGTTTAATTCAGTTTTGCGTCGCTAATTTGCATAAACTAAGCGAAGATAAAAATACAGCTCTTCTGTCGCTGATGCGGTCAATTTCTGTTGGATTAAAAGACATGACTCATTGGAATACAGGTTAGTGTGACCAGATTTGCGACACCGTACGGGGGGAGGGAGGTGGGGACTCGTCATCCACATTGAGCGACTCTCACCTGGTAAAACTTTTTCCCACTGGACACCGAAACATATGTGCTGCTTTATACACTGTGCACATGGACTCCCACTTGTCCCGAATGCAACGGAAAGTGTGGAATTTCTTGTATAAGTCATTGTTAAATACTCATTTGTGCTTCGGTACGTTGCAGACTGACCGCTCCTTCTGAGTGCAGAGACACATGTACAGACCCCTGTTTGGTCACGCTACGCACAGCAAAATACATTCGGTTTGTCGATTAAAATTAACATAATCGATGAAATTCTTGATGATCAATTATCGATTAATCGAATAATCATGCCCATCCCTAGTATATACTGTATGTAGTACTGATACTACAATGTCATACTGTGCAACATTCTAGGCAAAGCACTAACATCTCCATGGAGACCAGCAGTTGGTGAATCCTCCACCAGAAAAGTGAAATAGTGCATCTTTTTAAATATGGACACTTGAAAGAACGAATCCTGTAGGGCTGAGTATCATTCACGAGTAACTGATACAATACATACCTCGATACAGTGAGCTTATGATTCGATACGATTCAATACGATATATTTCAAATTGATTACATACGGTTCAATAAAAAATAAAGACTAAATCATGGCTGTGATACTAACAGTGTTTGTTAAAAGATTTCTTGAGCAAAGTTCATGTGAAACACAAACATTTTAATCATCAAAACAGTGAAAATGTCAAATGTGTCGAATAAACGAGTTTCCTTCCTTTGAACAAACAACAAAACTGTAGCTGTGACAAAATAGTTTAGTAAAACACCAAAAAACACTCTAGGTGATATATCAATACAGTAGCCCATGATATCGATACTGCATCATCACATTAAACGATACGATATATTGATATTTTAATATTTTTACACAGCCCTACTACCAAGACATAAGTAGAACAAGCAAACTGTATAAGCTTCTATTTGACCTGGAAACCAAACCTTCGACCTTTTTGCGGTGAGGTGAGAGAGCCAACTACTAAAGCCACAGCACCGCAAACACACACCTAACGCCACGGCAACAAAAGCCTAATTATAAACAACAGAGAAATGTGACAGAATGGGCATTAGAATTATTCATTTTCACATGGTATTCCCAAACACGATATTAATTATGAACTCAATCATAATTGCGTCTGACAGCGCGGTTCCATAGCTGCTGCAACTTGATTCACAGAACACAGATGAATTTGACCTCAATACCGGCTCTCCCCCCTTCCTCTCCTCTCCTCTCCCCTGTTCTCTCTCTCTCTACCCCTAATCCAGTTACTGTGTACTTGTATGGAGAGCGGCGAGGGGAAGGGGGTAGGGGGGTGATACACGCGGCGGAGTTTGCCCATCGGGTTTGGGCTTTTGAGGCTGCTACAGAGGAGAGAGAGAGAGAGAAAGAGAAAGAGAGAGCAGGAGAGGAAGAAGACAGGAGGGGATGGAGAAACAACAGCCACAAAAAGCAACATGGACGCCGCGCAGAATAGATTGTCGCTCGGGGTTGGAATTAGAACATACGATTATAAATAGCGGTGTAAAAAAGATGTAACGGTACCTTTTCCAGTGTGGGTATCCATGCTTTCCTCGCCCCTCCTCTCCTCGTCTCCTTGGTTCCTACACAAAAAAAAAAACATAGGATTTAGAATGTGTACATGATATTCAAGGAGGCTGGGAGTTTGGTGACGGAGGGCTGGGGCCTACATCACGCCACGGGAGATTCACATAGAAAACAGGAACTTCACATGTTTTGAACCTTACATTTTTGTGAGGGATTGGCTCCACAAATTTTCCATTTCAATCTTGTATTTTAAAGGTGCACTATGTAATTTTTCTCATGGTTCGCCGCTTGCTTGTGTCCATGATGATGTTTGCATTCATTCAAATTCATAAAAAAAAAAAAAAAAAAACTTGAAAAGCATACATTCTTACTTTGAGCCTCCCTATAGCTCGGACCAGCAGCCTGTTGGCGTCTCCATGGAAATAATGCCATATTGTGAAACATTTTAGGCAAAGCAGTAACATTTCCATTAGCAGACAGTGTACTCTAGAGGTGTGCAAAAATATTGAAATATCGATAAATCACAGGCATAATAAGCTCAAGCCTCAGCCTACACCTTTTCGGTCAATGTATGTTAAATATGACTCTATACTGACTCTGTGGATTCATGTCAGAATATAGCTGTGACCAAAAGAAATTAATCAATCAAATGTGATTAAATGTGTTCAAAAGTGTTTAAATGTGATTAAATGTGATTTTAAAAAATGTCAGTGTGATGATACAGTATCGATATATCGCCAAGAGTATTTTTTGGTATATTTTACTCAATCATTCTGTTACAGTTACAGTTTTGTTGTTTGTTCAGAGGAAGGAAACTTGTTTATGTGACACATTTCACATTCTCACAGTTTTGATGATTAAAATGTTTGTGTTTCATATGAACTTTGCACAAGAAGTGATTTAACGAAGGTATCTCCAGGTTTGACTACCCCAAATTTAAGACATTTTTAAGAGCACTTCAATGAAAATTAAGACCAACATCACACCCATTATGCGAAAAAAAAACCAAAAAAACACCAGATCCAATTCTAATAATGACCATTACTCACTGCTTCAAAAAACAAAAAATACTTTCATTATAAAATCTCATTCAGAACTCATTTATAATAGGATGAATTGCTTGTAAAATGGCCAAAAAAAAATCACTTCTAACATTCTAACAAGACAAACTAAGTATCGTTTGTGCATACTCCAAATTAGACATTCATTCATGTTACATGATTTCACGTTTTGTTTTTTGTTTTTTTCCTCCATTTAACTTTGCACTGCAGCCCAGTTGAGTAAACAGAAAAATAGGCTAATGAAATTTCAGACCTTTGTGAAAAAAATAAGACTCGGACAACATAATTTAAGACTTTTTAAAGCCTTAATTTAGGAACATGAAATTTAAAACATTTTTAAGACTTTTAAGACCCCGCGGCTACACTGTTAACAAAGACTTTTAGTATCACAGCCATGATTTAGCGTTTATTTTTTATTGAACAGTATCCAATCTATTTGAAATATACTGTATCAAATAAAAAGCTCACTATACGAGATATGTATGGTATCATGGCCTGTGTATCAAGGTATGTATCGTATCGGCAGCTTCTTAATGATACCAGCCCTGGTGTACTCACACTTACATATAGTTTTTTCAAAATGTGTCTTATCCCCGTACAGATATATTGAATAAACAGGTCAAAGAAGTTTGTTGTGTACTGTCTGCATCTAATTATAAAGTGTTTTTCTGTCTGAGAATCAGGAAGTGCACAGTGAGTATGCTATTGCCCAGAAAGGCACCATTAAATAAAACGTATAATTGTTAAACTATGCTGAAAGTTATGAAAAGCACTTACAAACTCATCATGGTGAATAATTAGGATGCTCTGAGTTCATACAGTAAGTGAGGACCCCAGCCTATTCACAATACAAGAAAAATTCACTTAAATTAGCAAACAAAAGTTGAAAATTTCCGAGGCAATTTTTTCCTTTCCTTTATTTATTTTTTGGGGGGTTGTTCTTAGAAGTATCAGCTCATTAAACCAGTCCAGGAATAGTCACTTAAACATGTTTTTTATGATGTTACGAAAGCGAAAGCGCCGTCGGTCCTTTTAAGGCTGCCCCGTGGAGCTTTGAAGAGACGCGTTTGATATGGTGGGAATGTAAGGTGATAGTTATTGTTTAAAAAGAGCCGGCGGGGGAGCGGCCTGGCCAGTTTAACAGTGATACATGAAGCTGGTATAATGAGGGGTTGCAGCAGCTGTGGAGGAAGATAGAAAAGACGAGTGGGAGAAACAAAGCACTGAACTGTCTGCAAAACGGCAATTTGTGTGTCTATTAAAAGTATATTTCCGTGTTTGTGTATAGGCAATATGGTGACAATTTATAGAAAACTGCATAATTTGTAATATTTTTAAGAGGCTACCATATGAGAAATCAGCCAGACGATGTTATAATGTAGAAGGTAATGTAGCTCATATTGAGCTTGTGCCCTTGAGCAAGACTCATTGTCAGCGTACAGTGTTGGGAAGGTTACTTTTAAAATGTATTCCCCTACAGATTACAGATTACATACCCCAAAATGTTGTTTGTAATGTAATCCATTAAATTACTTAAAGCGAGTAACGTAATCTGAATACTTTGGATTACTTGATTTGTTGTAGAGAAGCAAAGACTAGGATATCGTAACATACGATGTTTTAACTGCTAAAAGAAAATGAAAAGCCCAGACTTTACTGAACCAAATTAAAAATATTATTGATAGATAGGAGGAGACACGGTCCATGCAGCATGGTCCTGTTAAATCTTGTTTTAGTCCTGTTTTAGACCTGGTTTAGATCTAGTTTAGACCTGGTTTAGATCTAGTTTAGACCTGGTTTTAGCCCCAGTTTAGATTTATCTTAGACCTGCTTTAGTCCTGGTTTAGACCTGCTTTAGTCCTGGTTTAGATCTGGTTTAGTCCTGATTTAGACCTGGTTTTAGTCCTGGTTTATCCCTGGTTTTAGTCCTGATTAAGACCTGGTTTTAGTCCTGGTTTATCCCTGGTTTTAGTCATGGTTTAGTCCTGGGTTCAGTCCTGGTTCAATACTGATTTAGTCCTGGTTTAGTGTCCGGCAAAGAGTGGAATTACCAAAAATGTGCCCAAAATGTGAAAACAGGAAAATACCGCAATATAATCCATTTATTTCAACAAAGTAACTGTAATCCAATTACCACTCACTGAAACAGTAACTGTAACCAAATACAGTTACTCATAATTTGTACTCTGATTACATAACTCTGGCACATGTAATCTGTTACTCCCCAACACTGTCAGCGTATCAGCACTTGGTAAATGGTCAGATTTTTATGGAGCACTTTTCCACCTTCAAAACACTCAAAGCACTTTACATCAAGGAACCACTCACATTCATACACAAATGTACACAGGAGGGTTAAGTGTCTTGTGCAAGGACACAATGACAACATTCATCTGTGGGAGCTGGAATGAGATTGAGAGCCGGATTCAAACTGCCAACCTTCAGATAAGTGGAAGAACACAATATGAACTGAGCTACTGTCGCCACATGCGGTCTGGGTTTTGGAATGGTGGACTAGACACTGCCATAAACATTTTCTTGTTGAGTATAGAATTAGTCAGTGTGAAATAGTACATTTATTAAAACATTTATCAAGTGTGGTGGATCCCTCTGCCACCACTCCATAGTGTCAGTATCATTTCATTTCATTTACATTAAGTTAATTACATTCCACATAAATTAATTCCTTTATTTAGACTTATATTCTAATTTGAGTGCACACATTTTAGTTAATATAAGTCTGATTTACTTACACTTGATCTTTAGTTTTTGAGAGCTGGACGGAGGACCCTTGGGAGAAACCATCATGACTCAACAGGGGGGGGGGGGTCCATGTATCATTCGTTCATTTGTTTTTCAATATGAAACCAAAAAATAAGAAAATGAAAAAAACAACTGTTTTCTTCATTATTTGTCTCCAAAACCAAAATGAAAAAACAGATAAAGATTAGTTTTTGATTTTGTGTTTAAATGAAGAATGGAAAAAACGGATAACGGTTTCACGTTTACGTGACTCTGTGACTGCAATGCCGAACTGCATACGGACTGAACCAGGACTGATCCAGGTCCAGGACCACACCGGGACCAGGACAGAGACCAGACCGGGACTGAGACCGAGACCAGAGCGGACTCTGAGCCTCCGCGGGGTCCGAACCTCAGCTTCGCGCTCTGGCCCTGACGTGGGCTCTGAACCTCCGCTCTAGTCCCAGTCTGGTCCCGGTCTCAGTCCTGCTCTGGTGTGGTCCCGAACCTGGACCGAACCTGGATCAGTCCTGGTTCAGTCTGTATGAAGCGCAAAAGTCCGGTATTGCAGTCACGAGAGTCACGTAAACGGGTCGTTATCCATTTTTCCCATTCTTCATTTAAACACAAAATCAAAAACTGAAAAAATGTATCATTATCAGTTTTTTCATTTTGGTTTTGGAGACAAATAATGAAGAAAACAGTAGGTTTTTTTGTTTTCTTATTTTTGGTTTTATATTGAAAAACGAATGAACGAATGATACACAGATTGGGGAGCACTATTTAGTTTGTTTTATTAAGTCAGTTTGTTTAGTTTGCTTTAAGGTCACTTTATTATCACTTATTATTTTCTGTATTATAATTATTTCCCTTTTTGTTACTTTGATTAAGTTAGTATTTTAGTTCATTATTTGGTTTAATTCCTCCTCTTGTGTTTAGTTTTAGTTTGTCCTGAAGTATTTAAACACCCTGTTCCTTTGTCTGGTTGGATTAGTTTTGTTCTGTTCAGTTTGATAAGAGTTTCCCCAGTTGGGCCCGACTTTTTTTGTTAACAATTTGCCTAATTTGAGCCTTTGTTAAATCATAACTTTTTTTGACTTTACTAAATTTTAACTTATTTTTATAACTTGTCTTTGCCTTTCTGGTTGGTCCACTACATCAAGTAAGAATCAAAAAGTATAAAAATGTATTTAAAAAAAAAAAAATTGTGACCCCAGCTGTGCAACTTCCACACTGAAGAGTCCGAGCTATGT